AATATTGTGTTTGTTGAAAAATGCTTTATTCATACAGGGCATGTGTTACATCATATAGAATAATAAAGTATGTCTTCGGGTTGAAAAACACATAACCCAAGAGTCATGATGCAACGTTTCCAGTAGTGCCTCTGTTGAGCATTGCAGTCCGATCTCTGCAGGGGAAAAAAAAATAAAACTACTGAGTAAATTCAGTTATTGAAACATTATCCATTAAAGACTTGATGTGGGTTATGTCAGATCTAAATTGTCTTCAGTGTTAAATCAGAAGTCTAACGCATTATGATCATCATTCATAAACATTACAAGATACTTTCTGCTCACTCGAGATACTTACTTTAATCCCATCTGCTGTTCCAGGAATCAATCCTCTCCTGCAATCCTGCAAATAAAAACATGTCTGAGTGAATTTATTGAACACACACCAGACAACAGACTGGTGTTTGTGGGTCAAGTCAGATTAAAATATGTTTACTTCATTTGCAAATCAGAAGTCTAACGCACGGAAATCATCATTCATGAACCCCAAAAAGGGAGATTAAGAGAGATTTTACAAGAAATACTCACCGTCATAGAATCAGAAGAGGCCTCGGCCAACCTTCATCTGAAAGTACGCCATCCTCCTGCCCACGTGTGGATGTGCAATCGCCTCAAAAACACCGCATCGATCCGGGTTTATTACCGGGCCTGTGGACAACACAACATATTGTTATTAACAGGAACATAATTCAATGCATTTGCCATTTGAGGTTGTAAAACTATTCAAAAGAAAGTCCAACTTACCAGCACATTCCCACGCCGGTGCGGCCTTGTCACATTGCTCCAATATTCACCTCCATACTTCAAACTAAGGGAAGTCATTTCTTCTGCAAACTCAAGTCGTGAACCACAACACCGCACCTAAACCGTGCACATAATGGGCTTCTTACAGCCATGTTAAATACAAACACTTCGAGTCCGACTGGTCTGGCTGGAGAAAGCATGCTCGCAAAAGGGAGGGGTTGGATTTGTGCAGAAAATGTCTCCCCCCGGATGTACTTTATACCACATCCGGTGTGTGTCGGCTCTTTTCTCATTGGCTCACACCGACTCTCCAGCTCCCCTCCTCCACTCGGTGTGGATATCTATCCCAAAGTCCAACCCCCACGATTTTCAGTTCAGGAAGAAGCGGATCTAACGTTGGGTACCCAAATGCCTCTTAACGTAACAGCGTTTTTAAAAAAAAAACCCTAACGTAACATCTTGGTTGTGAGCCAAAATCACGTTTTTTCCTATGTAGCCTTCGGCTGTCCGGACCAGCTGTCTGCCCCCCCCCACCCCGGTTTGAGACCAGATAATATGGACTGGATAGAGAGCAGTCGGACCCGGTTGTGGTGCGTTTTGGTGTTGCTGTGCTGCGCTGGTCTCCCACAAAAGGTAAGAGGGGCTAACTGGATAAAGCTAGCTTAAGTTAGATGATGAGCTCGGAGTTTTCTACCCGCTGAACGACACTTTTCACTCAAAGTTTTCTGCCTTCAGTCCCTTAAATACCACAGAGCCACCAAAAGCTAAGTTATTAGTCACGGGAAGAGCCTGTGTGTGTGTCTGTGTGCTGCGTGTTGTCAGAAAGTAGGCTAACATCAACGTTAGCTCGGTGGCTAAAAGGACTCGTTTTTCCAACTAATATGTGCTTCAGAAAGCCTGTAATTAACTCCAACAACGTTTCATTATGCACCTGAGAACATGTCTGATGCATCACTCCGGAAACATTTTCCTTCAGGTGAAATTAAAGATCAGATTTCCAGCTTCTTTCTAATCCAAATATGTGAGTAAGTAAGTAATGTAATTAAAAAAACCAAAAAAAAGCCTGTGAGGATTTGGTGTCCTTTCTCTCCAATCCTTTATTCATATGTTCAGCTCATCACCTCCCCCCAAGTGTCTCAGAATCAAACTAGTGAATTTAAAAAAAGCTAATTTAGTGTCAATATTGTTGAAAACTTAAGGTCCTCTGTACCCTTATTATGCAAACATCCTGTGTGAAAGGTTGCTGAGGCTTGATGAGATGCACATTTTCCTATATTTTTGCACGGTAACTCAACACTTCTTATCTTTTCAGTCGGCTGAGCAGAAGTTGCTTTCACATCAGCAGCCTCACAACTAATGATTCAGTGTTTGTGGCTCCTGCACACTGCAAACGCAAACTGTAAAAACAGAAAGATGCAAGAAAATGCGTGTCTCTGTGCTGAGGTAAAGCTTTTAAAGGATATTTCTCACCACTATCTGCCATCCACACTTGCATTTGACTTTTATACAAACTCCCCTCCCCCCCTCATTTGATTAGATCTCCACAGCCGTCTGAAGCCAGCAGGACAGATACAGTTATGTGTGCCTCATCCTTAGTCTCTAATTTATAAAGTTCCACACCAAAGCACAGCATTGTTCTGCATGATGAATCTTTGTGGTCGGGGTTGATTAAATCATCCACCACACAACCACACAAACATCTACGTTTCCGTGCACACCAACATGCAATATGATGCGATAAACAAACATTACGACTGTGAAGTACCAATTACCTTGCGAGGGGAAGGCTGGAATAAAATATAGATCTGGTCGTGCGTTATTGTGTTGTTTACCAAGGCGACCTGTGAACATTCAATGGGTTCCATATTATTGGTGTCTGGCACAAAAGGGGGAGCTAGATAACTGGCTGAAACTGAGACTGGTTCCTAGGAAGTCTCCAGGCTGAGACGCTAGCGACGAAGCTAGTAAAGCAGCAGAGCTAAGCAGCAGATTAAAGTAGCCTTTTAATCCCCTATCATGTCTCGGGTTCTTCTCTCAGCCCCTTAGACGGTCTGCTGGTGTCGTAGGGATACCAAATGATGACACGCTATCTATAGATTTTTACGTAAGTGTGTGTGTGTATGTGTGTGAGGGAGAGGAAGAGCTACGAATGAGAAGAGCAACAGAGAAAAGACTCGTATGTCTCTCTCTCTTCACTGTCTCTTTGTCACGGTTATTCTATTTTTAAAGCCAGCTGATTTTCCATTGTGAGGCAGATGTGTCAGGGACAGCAGCTAGTGCTTCGTCGCGCATTCTGTTCACACCTCGCTTGACAGTTTTCTCCCTTATAACACTAATATTCCGTATAAGACTTGTTACTGACTGAAAACTGCAATATGTCCCTCAGCTGTAAGTTGTCCCATTGCTCTGTCACTCTCACCATATTTTATATCCTTTGTGTGTGTGTGTGTGTGTAGAGGTGGTTCACATTGAACTAACACAGGTTGTTTTGCTCAAAAGGAAAGTTGTGATCTTACACTATCTTATCACAATGGTAGATTGGCTGCGCTTTGACTGATTGTCTGAACGAGGGGCCAACACGTGACACCCTCCCCGACTGAAGCAGCACCTTGCAGAGAGCAGCTGATAGACAGTGTTGACAAGAAAAGTGGCAAAGATGTTTCTCCACTGCTCTACATTACATTTTAAACAGTGAACAGTCATCTCCCAAAGGCGTAGGTCCTGTCTTATTCTGGTATAATTTAACTGTGGTATCTGAGTCTGTGAAGGAAGTCAAACGTCCCTAAGCCCGTTTCATCAGCATGCAGTCCTGAAGGGAAATGACTGCTTTTATGTAGGCCTTTTAAAACTGATGGATCACCAGTTCTTAATGCTGCATGGCTCACACTTCCTCATGTGCATAAAGGGATTTCTTAATAGAATTTCAAAGCATATTTTTGTTTACTCGAAGCTGTTGCTGCACTACACCCATGACAAGTTGCAAGGTGCGAGATATGTTATTATCCGAGTAGTATTTCTTGGTTCCTGTGTTGGTTTTTGTCTGCACCCAAGCTGCAAACATACTGCTTACTGATGCAGATGACTTGGTGGTAGGAGAGTGTTCCACTATTCAACATAAAAACCATAAGCTTTAGTTTAGGCCTAATTAATAAAGAGAGCTCAGGCCACAATATACAGGATGTTTTGGTGATAGTCTAGTCTCATCTACAAACATTAGTCTCACTGTTTTGAGGCCTTTTAAGGTCCATATTATGACTGAGTTAAAGTCATTAGAGTTTCCTTACATTAAAGATTCTGTATTTGCCTCTCTCTCCTGCATGTATCTCTTAATGATCACACGATAGCCTCTCTCTCACCCAGTAAGACAGCCAAACATGAGGTCCATTGAATCAGTGTTTCAGATGGCACCAGAGGACTTCATCATCCTGCTTGGTTGGTGATTTGATACTTCCCCATCCTGCTGATATCATATCAGGTATCTGCCTCTTTAAACCATGCCTGGCCTCATTGCAGACAAGAAAGTGAAGACCTCAGAACTTGCCAAGACTCTGCTTTCGTCCAGTTCTGTAGTATTATGTAACTCGCTTACGCAACAACTAAGCATTTCTGTGTTACACACAGAATGAGGAAATGAGAGGGAATGTCCTGACATTTAAGTTTTTAAAAAAGCTTTACGACAGACATAAATGTATGTAAGCTGGATATTCCTGAGGCCTCATGCTGTATGATATTCAACAGTTGCTGCATAACAGCGTCCATCCAAAACTCTGAGGCTAACAGATGTTAAGAAAGTTATTTGCTTGCGAAACCAAGAACCCTGATAGAGGTGACGGGGGGCCCGAAAACAAGTCGGTTATGATTCTCCCAGCACTGTTGTGTGTTGCATGTGAGTTTACAGCACAGTGGGAACAGTCACAGGTGCACAATATTGACACAAATACGTATAGGATGTGAGACTGCAGTAGGCAAATGTGAAACCTTCAGTTTATGGGGTTGTTTTGACCTTGGTTTCTGTTTGGTCAGTTAAGACACGCTAGTATTTCATTTTAAGTTAAAGCTGAAGAACTCAGAGGGAGAAAGTGATGCCAAGTTGTAAAGAAACCGCTTGCCCCTCTCAGGTTTGTCTCGCACGCGTCATCTTTTACGGCATTGGTTTTATTTGGAAACGCAAGCCAAGAGGAACAGCCTGAGTGACTCTGTGACGGCGGTTGCATTTGCTCTCCATACCACACGCCCAGCCCTGACTAACTGGTGGTTTGTTCATGTCTGACCTAAGAGCACTTCAACCCCCCTCCCCTCCTCATCTCCCTCAAAAGTGGCCAAATGCTCAGAAGAGTGTGGTAGTAATTATAGATTGGTAATCTGCTTTATATGTGGGGGCTGTTTGCACTGCCCCCAGGGAGCTGTTCAGGGGGATTAGTCCGAGATGTGGATCAATATTGCTGTGGTTCAGAAGGGGAGTAAGGACTGTCCTGCTCAGACTCCTGTGGCAAAGATGGAAGGTTTAGTGGCATCCCCAGATTAATAATAATTCCCAAACAATAAGTCGATAAGAAATCAATTAAAACAGTTCTTCCTAACTCTTTTAGTTGATAAAGCTCATGTCTACCAGTTGCATATAATCTTCAAGAAGAACAGCTCATATCAAAGTACACAGGCTGGTCAGGCTGAGTTCATAGGGTCGTCTCGGGTTTGGAGGGAAGTCAGAGCTTTCAGCCACCCCTACTGGACCTCTTCCTGCACATTGGTGCCAAAAACCACAAGAAGCCCACTGCTTGGTTATCAGACTGGCGTTTTTAGAATTCCATAGTGGGTGAATGGAGCAAACATCACCCACAGTGCTGTTAATTCTGGCATAAGCCAAGTCATGAGGCCGGGTCGTTAGGCTGCTGTCGTGGTTATGGGTTCAATTGTTTTAACTGGATTTGCTGCATTTTTCTTCGCTTTTCCTTCCACTGAGTTGTCTCTCTTATGTCATTTTAATCAACCAATCCAAGTATTCCCATATCTGTTCATGTCCCTCCATGTTTCTGAGTGGGAGTAAAAGGTTCTGGAAAGAAGGGTTCCCATATGGCCCGTCAGCCCACTATTCATCTGTGCAGAGAGGAGTTGAACCACTCTCTTCATTCAGTTCATTGTCAAATCCGTTTTAAAAAAGCCAACCTTTTTATGTGGCGTGTTGTGCGATAGCATGAAAGTTTAGAACGTGCACACGTGCTCAGCCCATGC